TAGTATTAAGAATTAGGTCAGCTTGACCTAAATCTTTCATGTCAAAATTTTGTGATAAAAAGTGTTTGATATCATTTATGATTTGTATGTCAGAACCAAAAATAAGAATGTCATCAACATATAGGCATAATATCACAATTTTGTTGTTTTTATCTATTTTATGATATACACACTCATCTGTTTGATTAATTACAAATCCATAAGATAGTATAATTTCATCAAATTTCATATGCCATTGTTTTGGGGCTTGTTTGAGACCATATAGTGATCTAATAAGCTTGCATACTTTCTTTTCTTGTCCAGAAGCTATAAATCCCTCAGGTTGATCCATATAAATTTCTTCATCTAAGTCTCCATTTAAAAATGCAGTTTTAACATCCATTTGATGTATTATTAATTTGTGAATGGATGCTAGAGCTATGAGGACTCTAATGGTAGTAATCCTAGCTACTGGAGAATAGACATCAAAATAATCAATACCAGACTTTTGGGTATATCCTTTAGCTACTAATCTGGCTTTATATTTATCTATTGTTCCATCAGGTCTAAGTTTCTTCTTAAACACCCATTTACATCCTATGGTTTTACATCCTGAAGGAAGATCAGTTAGTTCCCAAGTATGATTTTGAACTATAGATTGTATCTCATTATTTATAGCTTCCTTCCAAAATGGAGCATCTACTGATTTCATTGCATCTTCAAATGTAACTGGAGAATCTTCTACAAGTAATGCATAGAAATCTTCATGGACCTTTTCTATTCTAGTTCTTTTACTTCTCCTAGGCTCCTCTGGACTTTCTAGTGGTCTAATTTGTTTAGAACTAGTTTCACCTTGATTAGAACTAGGATCTGAATTATTAGAGCTAGGGCCTGTGTTGTTTATTCTGGTCTTGTAAGGAAAAATATTTTCAAAGTAATGTGCATCCCTAGCTTCAATTATGGTGTTGTTGGCTATCTCATTAATGTCAGAGTTGATTATTAAAAATCTATTTGCATTACTATCAGAAGCATAGCCAATAAAAATTCCATCTACAGTTTTAGGGCCAATCTTCTTTCTTTTATTCTCAGGTATTTTGACTTTTGCTAAGCACCCCCACACTTTTAGGTGATCTAAATTAGGGTTTCTATTCTTCCAAATTGTGTAAGGGGTTTTATCAGATTTCTTGAATGGAATTCTATTTAGTATATGACATGCAGTCATGAGAGCTTCTCCCCATAAATTTTCTGGCACACCAGAATTAATTAACATTGAGTTTACCATGTCCATTAGTGTTCTATTCTTTCTCTCAGCTACTCCATTAGATTGAGGTGTATATGGAGCTGTTATTTCATGAATAATTCCATTCTCTTCACAGAATTGTTTTAATTCATTAGAAGTGTACTCACCACCTCTATCTGATCTTAGTATTTTAATTTTCCTATCCAACTGATTCTCAACTTCTGCTTTGTATATTTTGAATTTGTTTATGACTTCATCTTTAGTCTTAATTAAGTAGAGGTAACAATATTTAGAGCAATCGTCTATAAAAGTTACAAAATATTTGTTACCCCCTCTAGTTGTTCTTCCTGAATCACAAACATCACTATGGATGAGTTCTAATATCTCAGAATCTCTATCAATAGTTTTAAATGGTTTCTTAGGAAGTTTGGCTTCTACACATATTTCACATTTTTCATCATCTTTTATATTAAGCTTTGGAATTATATTGAGATGCATCAATCTTTTAATTGAATTATAATTCACATGTCCTAATCTTTGATGCCAAGTGATGGAAGGTTCAATATTCAAAGCTATTGGAGATGCAAGAGTAGAATTCTTAACATTCAATTTAAAAAGACCATCACATAAGAAACCTTTTCCAATGAAGTTCAAACCCTTAGTTATTACAACTTTATTTGATTCAAAAACAAGCTTATAGCCTTGTTGCACTAACAAAGATCCACTAATTAAGTTTCTCCTAATGTCTGGTACATGATGGACATCCTGCAGGATCAAAGTCTTATCAGAAGTCAGCTTTAGGTTGATCCGACCTATTCCGGATACAGGAGCCACATTATTATTTCCCATTGTCACAGTTCCTCTACTTGAGACCTGATAGGTGGAAAACAAAGATTGATTAGAGCAAACGTGAATATTAGCTCCAGTGTCAATCCACCAATCATTTGCTTGAAAGGTCATGTTTACTTCAGGAGTGAAGAGAACAGACCTGAAAGCAGCCTCAGCTGGACTTGAAGTCACCATGTTTACTTGTGACTTATTAGGTGGAGGTCCTCCCTTCCTAGGCTTGGGTGGTTCAGTTTTCTTGAAAAAGCAGTCCTTAGCAAGATGGTTGGTTCTTCCACAAACAAAGCAGGCTCGACGTTCAGCTCCTTCCTTCTTTTGAAAGTGAACATGGTTCTTATTTTGATGATAGGGTTTCTTCTTAAATGTTTTATTTTGATTTTGGTGGAAGGGACGTTTCTTGTGTTGAGGAAAGGGTTTGGATTCAACATTGTTTACTTTGGGTTCTTTGGGTTCAGATTTTGTCACATTTTTCTCCCTGAGTCTATGTTGCTCTTCAATTCTAATAGAATTCAATACTTGCTCTAGGGTAAGATCTCCTTGGGTATGGTTAAGGTTTTTGGCAAAATCTGACCAGGACTCGGGAAGTTTGTCTATAAGACAGGCTATCTGAAACGTTTCATCTAAGATGGATCCATTCACTTTTAATTGGTGAACTATATGTTCAAATTCATGAATTTGCTCATTCATTGGTTTAGAATCTACCATTTTAAATTTGTTAAAATCAGATGCTTTAAATCTTTTAATTCCCATATCATCTAGACCATACTTTTTCTCTAAGGTTTCCCACAGAACTTTAGCATTAGTGATAGTATAGTATATATCATATAATCTATCAGATAAAGCTCCTAAGATTCTATGTAGACAATGATACTCTATTTCTTGAGGTGTTCTTGGGATAGGAATGGAATCTGTGGAGGAAGATGAGGAAGATTGCCTAGTAACTGGTCTAGATGAAGATGGGTTATCTGGTTCTATGGCTGTTATTAGATGTAGGGTTGTTAACCAAAATCTCATTTGGTTTTGCCAACGACGAAAATTATTCCCATCAAACTTCTCTGGTTTAGCAGACATAACTTCACTTGTAGCCATAATCTGATGATGAATGAATATTTTTGTTATTATAATGCAGCAGAAAAATATAAAGCATTCATTCAACAGAATAATCATGCATTGTAACATTTCGTTTTTAAGAATTGCAGACAACATTAACATAAAAAGCAGAATGTTAATCATGTTACTATTCTAAACAACACAAAATTAGTTTCTTGGACTGTTGGGAATATAAGCTGTTTAGACAATAACGAAAATCAGTTTAAGCAATTTAATAATTAACAGATAATCACGGATTAATATTGTAACGTAGATGTAAGAAATAATTCAAACAAAAAGAAATAAGGGTTAGAAATACGGCCTGATGGTCGAGGCGTGCAAGCACTGTCCCAAGAAACTAATTGCCCCCTCTCGTACAGGGCTACGCGGCAATAGATCTCGGAGATACGACGACCCTCGGTCAGGCGACCTCCTTCTCGTCGGCACGAGCTTCAAGAAGGTTTTGCGAATTCTTCTAGACTTTCAGGGAACCAGCGTAAACAGAAAACTATTTTGAAAAGAGAAGGAGAGAAGAGATCTGTTGATTTTTCACTGTATGAAACTATTCGGGTTTTGGTCCTTTTATAGGGTTAAACAGCCGTTATACATAAACCCGTAGTTAATACGTTTTAATCACGTTAATAAAACTTAGCCGTTATAAAATTAAAAAACGTTTCCGTTTCATAATAAATTCACAAAATATTTATCACGTTTTTAATCACACTAATAAATTTTGCCGTTACAACATATTTCTGTTACAAAATATTTATCACATGTTAATTATTCAAGCAGATTAAGGGCCCATTAATCCGGAGCGGCATTCGTGTCCGCAGGTCATGTGCGCGCGCCACCCGACCCGACCCCGAGCCCGGCCCGGCCGGCGCGCGCGTGTGTGGTGTGGAGCATAACCTTTGTTTTCTTCTAGGCATAGGAGAGAAAGGGAAGGCTTATAAAGAGTCTCTCTTCCCATCTCTTTTCCAATGTGGGACTAAAGTTTTCCTCCTTTCCTCTACAAACCCAAGTTTTAAGTTATCTTTATTATATAACTCCAACAATCCCCCACATAACTTAAAACTTGAAATAGCTCAGAAATAAGAATAAAATAAAAACTTAAAAATAAATAAGATTGCTGGTTCCCTTATACTATGTAATAGGTGGAGGTACCTTTCGGTTTGAACCTTCACTTAGTGACAGTTGTATAGATCCGTGAGAGCTTGGTGGACTTCGCCTTGAACCAGTCTCATTTATCGGATTTCTACAGAAAGCACACATAGTACAGTTTTGAAGAATTCTAAACGGGTTGCGCTATTATCGGCCTTGCGCAGGTATCTTTCATGTGTGTTACTAGGGAGCAGCCCTGATCCCATAGTCGCGGCCTCACAACTACACACATATAGGTGAATCCTAATAAGGATGCGAGATGCAAAAACCCCAACCCAAATAAAATAAAAATAAAACAAAAAAGAAAAGGGGGAAGAAGACGCAACACCAACTACTCGGTCTGCACCCTGAGATATTTACTGAGAAAAAAAACTGTTTTTTGTTTTTTTGACCCAGCTCGGAAGATATTTGATGATGTACTCACTACAAAACATCTGTCAAAATTAGTTGACTCTCAATAAGTCAGCTCGCATTTGTCGTCATTCTAGCAGTCCACATTTTATCCACCGCCAAGAGTACATCATGAATGCAAAAGATAAAGGTGATGTACAGGAAACGGAAGTCCTCATAACATGCAGTCGATAATGTCATCGACTCAAAAAAAAAAAAAAAAAGCAGTCGATAATGTCATCGACTCAAAAAAAAAAAAAAAAAGAGCTTCAATATTTCCGAACAAGTAATAGACTTCAGTGAATTAAACTGCAGTTCTTGCCAGCACACCGATCACAAATTATATTGTAGCAAAATCTATCCGAATTTAGAATATCTGGCATACATGATAACTTGAAAACCGTATCTTGAGGAAGATCATGAACACATAATACACCATAGTGTAAGGTACATTTAAGAGACAACAACAGAAGACATGTACATGTCTTAGGGTAATTCGCTTCACAATATTACCACTTGACCATACACCTGAAAGAAGCGGATCCTAATACAAACATAACTCGAGTCTTGAAGACATTCAGGTATCCCAGAAATACTCCACGCATGAAAGTTACAATGGGTACTTTTATGTGGTTGGGTATTGACAGAGGGATGTTCGAGTTTCAATCCTGAAGATTTCCACAGTTTTTCCAAATTTGAAGAAAATAATCAACATATGATGTAATTTGTATGTACAAAATATGTAAGTTTATGAACTTGAAGAACTAACTGCGGGCTTGCTGTGGTGGTCCAGCAAAATGTAGTACATAGGATCACCGTCTGAGAGCCGGAAAAGCTGAATGGCAATGTAGGTACATGTAGTAATGCTGAAAAATAAGGCAAAGTATTAGTTCAAACCCAAATTTAGTCAATAAAACATTCATGATACCGAGAATACAAAGCCTTAGGCCAAGCTCAGGCGGAAAAGAGTTATGAATAGATAATTGGAAGACCTAGCTTTAAGTTCCGGCCAGCAATCTTCACGCGTAAATACAAGGGTTAATCACACATAGACCACCACCAACAACAAAAAACCCAGTATCATTGTTTTGCACGTATTACCCTTGTGGTTTCATTGTTTTATGGCTCTTTTACCCTCAGATAGACTCACTAATTTCTCCCAAGGGCGATGTCAGCCAAAATTTGATGAGGAGTAAAAGAGTTACAAAATTTTAACCCAGGGGGTCTATCCGCAACTATGATACTAAGTGCAAAACAGTGACACTACATGGGGACTATGTGCAATTAACCCTTAAAAAATTTAAATTATTTGAGAACTATTATTGCAAAAATCCTAATTTATTCATAACAATTTTCTCAGCCCTCAATTGTCAGCTATGAACAAATTCTCATGACATCAAACCCCACACTATTATACTCATCTCTTTCTAAATGAACAATTAAATAAAAAAATAATAATAAAAGCTATCATCTGGAGAAAAGTTATCCCATACACTGTCAACATATATAATGATACTTTTTAATCTACATGCGCATCACACAAGCTAAAAATCTAGGTAGATGCTAACATTAGAATATTAGAATTAACTTCAGAACACACCTGCCAAAACATATCAAAAGACAAATCCAAATGACTGTTCCTACCCACGTCGATTCCTTGTGAGCAACCCATACCTGAGATAACATGAACAAGTAACCATGAGCAAGTGTTCTCTACAGTCACATTGTACATCAAATGCAAATTTAAATGTACATAGATCCATGGAAATGAAAATAGCAATAATAAAACTACTACTAGCAGATATACAGAAATAGCTATAAACGTTTTTGTTGGTCAAAAACATCAAGCCACAAAAGTGTAGGTAGCGTGTTGACAATGACAGTGCTTGGTTGAAAAATTGAGTGCTAAATGAGAAACAAACAAGAATGACCGCAGTTTTTTGACAAATATCCATCAGAAGAAGTAGAGGGGTTAGAAGAAGATATCACGAGTTGAAATCTTTTGTTTGTCAAATAAAGAGGCCGGTTTTGTTTTTCTTTTGTTTGTCAACAAACATGAGGCGTGATTGGTGGTCTTATGAAGCCTATAAATCCCTTATCCTCTCTGATATCAAAATAATCAACGAACAGAGCTTGAGAGACAGAGAGTGAAAGCCACACGAGAAATCTGTGAGCTCTCAATATTTTGTATGAGTGTTGTATGTTGAGAAAGAAATATAGTGATACACCCTCTTGCCGTGGACGTAGATCAATTTGATCCACTTGCATCCAATTGCCCTTTTACCCTTAGGTAATTGCACCAAATCCCAAGTCTGAAACTGGTGTCAGAGCTTCTCGGTTCTAGGACAGCTTTCAATCCTCTACAATGGCTTCCGTAAAGTTCTCGGTGTCGATCTTTGATGGCCAGAACAATTTCGGCCTATGGAGGATAAAGATGAAGGCTTTGTTGCGACGTGAAGGCACGGTTGAAGCTATCGACGGGAAATACCCAGAAGATATGACTAATGCCGAGATCGAAGAGATGGACGAAAAGGCTCACATCGCCTTGCAATTGTCACTATCTGACAATGTGCTTCGTGAAGTTGCCGATGAGGAAACGGCGGCGGGGTTGTGATCAAAGCTCGAAAGTCTCTACTTGAAGAAATCTCTTACTACGAGATTATACCTGAAGCAGCGGCTATACACATTGAAGATGAAGGAAGGTACACCCATTCAAGAACACCTTGATGAATTTAATAAAATTGTCATGGATATAAAAAACCTGGATCTTAAGCTTGATGATGAAGACAAGGCTCTCATTGTGTTATGTTCCTTGCCTAACTCTTATGAAAACTTTGTTAACTCTATGTTGTATGGAAGAGAATCCATAAGTCTTGAGGATGTGAAGGCCTCTTTGAACTCTGCTGAGTTGAGAACAAAGTTGAATGGGAGAGGTATCGATAGGCAGGCTGATGGTCTGCTAGCCAGAGGTAGATCGAAGGCCAGATAGGGTGATAAAGGGTAATCCAGAAATCGCTCAAAGTCCAGGTCAACCCAAAACAAGAAAAATGTTGAGTGTTTCTACTGTCACAAGAAAGGACATTACAAGTCAGAATGCTATGCTCTAAAGAAGAAAGACAACCAGTGTGGTGAAACCTCAGATTCAGCTAATACGGCAAAGGCTGATACTGCCGTTGTTGCTGAGACGGTTCTTGCAGTATGTCCCTTGGATGGCCGTTCCGATAGAGAATGGATCTTGGATATAGGTGCGTCTTTTCATATGTGTCCAAATAAAGATTGGTTCACTACTTACAGATCTATAAGTGGTGGATCAGTTTTGATGGGCAACAATGCAGTTTGCAGGACAGTTGGTATTGGTACAGTTCGCATCCGGTATCACGATGAGATAGTGAGAACTTTATCAGATATGAGACACATACCGGACTTAAAGAAAAATCTGATTTCTTTGAGTTCTTTGGATTCTATTGGGTGTTCTTACACTGGCGAAGGTGGAGCTCTTAGAGTTACTAAGGGTTCATTGGTTGTAATGAAAGGTAGTAAGGTGAACAGTCTTTATGTTCTCCAAGGCAGTACGGTGACAGGCTCTGCAAGTGTGATGAAAGGTAGTAAGGTGAACAGTCTTTATGTTCTCCAAGGCAGTACGGTGACAGGCTCTGCAAGTGTGTACTCTGATGTTGATAGGGACACTACTCAGTTGTGGCACATGCGCTTAGGCCACATGAGTGAGAAGGGGGTGACTATTTTGAGTAAACGTGGCTTACTCTGTGGTGACCATACATCATCACTTGATTTCTGTGAGCATTGTGTGTTTGGGAAGCAAACTCGGGTCAGCTTCTCGACTGGCTCACATACGACGAAGGACACTCTCGACTACATCCATTCAGATTTGTGGGGACCTGCTTAGGTTCCATCCAAAGGTGGTGCTCTTTATTTTCTGACGTTTATTGATGATTTTTTCAGGAAAGTTTGGGTTTACTTTCTCAGGCGCAAAAGCGAGGTGTTCGAAACTTTCAAGAAGTGAAAAGTACTTATTGAGAATCAAACTGGAAAGAAGATTAAACGTCTCCGAACAGATAATGGCCTAGAGTTCTGCAGTGGTGAGTTCAATCAGTTCTGCTCAAATTCTGGGATCGTACGATATCGCACAGTCAGGCACACTCCTCAGCAAAACGGGGTGGCAGAACGCATGAATAGAATGTTGATGGAGAGAGCCAGGTGTATGCTCTCAAACTCTGGCTTGGATAAAGACTTCTGGGCTGAAGCTGTTAACACAGCTTGTTACTTGGTGAACCGGTCTCCTTCTATCGCTATTGAACACAAGACTCCAAACGAGGTATGGTCAGGTAAACCAAATGACTATTCAAATTTAAAGATATTTGGATGTCCCGCTTACTATCATGTTAGAGAGGGTAAGCTTGAGCCTAGAGCTAAGAAATACATATTTATTGGTTATGCTGAAGGCGTTAAAGGCTATCGTTTGTGGAGTCTTGAACCTGATTCTCCTAAATTCATTATTAGTAGAGATGTTACTTTTAATGAAAGATATATGCTTGATCATGGGAAGGTTTCTGTTGAGTCTACAGGAAACGTAGGGAAGACAATGGATAAGGTGGAACTTCAGGTGGAGCTCGAGGGAGAGACGTCTCAAAAGTCGTCTATAAAATTTACTCCTACAGCTGTAGAAGAGCAACATGATTCAGGCTCAGATGCTGATGATGCTGAGACTGAAGAACCTTATTCCATAGCCACTGGCAGAGAGAGAAGACAGATCAAACCTCCTCAAAGATATGCACATGCTGAATTAGTGGCGTATGTTCTCACGACAGCTGAAGAGATGAGTATTCAAGAGCCATCAAACTTTACTGAAGCTGTCTCATGCGGAGAATCTGGACGTTGGGCCACGGCTATGACAGAAGAACTCGAGTCACTCTACAAGAATCAGACTTGGGATTTGGTGCAATTACCTAAGGGTAAAAGGGCAATAGGATGCAAGTGGATTTTTAAAAAGAAAGAAGGGATCCCAGGGGTTGAAGATGCTAGATTCAAAGCACGGTTGGTGGCTAAGGGTTATAGACAAAAGGAGGGAATTGACTATGATGAAGTGTTCTCTCCGGTTGTGAAGCATACCTCCATCCGTGTATTGCTTGCCATGGTTGCTCTATTTGATCTGGAGCTTGAGCAGCTTGATGTGAAGACTGCATTTTTACATGGCGAACTTGAGGAGACTATCTACATGTCTCAGCCAGAGGGATACTTCGTAGAAGGTAAAGAAGATTAAGTTTGCAGATTGAAGAAATCTTTGTACGGCCTGAAGCAATCTCCCAGACAGTAGTACAAGAGGTTTGATAATTTTATGCTTAGTCATGGGTACTCAAGAAGTACTTATGATAGTTGTGTGTACTACATGCATCTAGGAGATGATTCTTTTATTTATCTTCTATTATATGTCGATGACATGCTTATTGCAGCTAAGAACATGTCACGAATTCTTATTTTGAAGAAACAACTCAGTGATGAGTTTGAGATGAAAGATCTTGGTGCAGCAAAGAAAATCTTAGGTATGGAGATCAGGAGGGACAGGAAAGCTGGAACGTTATATCTCTCACAGAAGAGCTATATTAAAAATGTACTTGAACGCTTTGGGATGAAGAAGGCCAAGCCCGTTACGACTCCTTTGGCTCCTCACTTTAGGCTCTCGGCTTCAGATTCACCTACAAGTGAGAATGAGAAGAAGGAGATGTCCCGAGTTCCATACTCTAATGCAGTGGGTAGCATTATGTATGCTATGATTTGCACTCGTCCAGATATTGCCCAGGCAGTCAGTGTAGTGAGCAGATACATGACTCAACCAGGGAAGGCACACTGGGAGACAGTGAAGTGGATCCTTCGGTATCTCAGGGGTACCTCAGATTTGGGTTTAGTTTTTGATAGCAGTACTTTGGGAACCTCAGTTATAGGTTTTGTAGATTCTGACTATGCAGGTGATCTCGATAAAAGGAGATCTTTGACTGGTTATCTTTTTACTCTTTCTGGCTCAGCTATTAGTTGGAGATCGACTCTACAGTCGACAGTTGCTTTGTCTACTACAGAGACAGAATACATGGCAGCAGCAGAAGCGGTAAAAGAGGCCATTTGGTTGAGAAATCTCGTAAGGGAGCTTGGACTTCTACAGGAGGCTAATTCAGTTGTATTTTGCGACAATCAGAGCACAATACATCTAAGCAAAAACTCAGCACATCATGAGAGGACAAAGCATATTGATATCAGATATCATTTCATTCGTGAGGTAACTGCTGAAAGAAACATCACGATGAAGAAGATTGGTACTGCAGACAACCCAGCTGACATGTTGATCAAACCGATCCCAGCCTTCAAGTTCAAGCACTGCTTGAATTTGGGAGGCATTCGCACTTGTTAAGTGGCCCCTTTTGGGGCATTGTTTGCAAGACGGGTAAAAACTCACTAGTTATGGATGTTTGAGAATTCAATCCAGGTTGGAGAGTGTTCGCATTCTTATTTGGGTCTTGACTTATTGTGGATTGAGTCCGTTGTCGTGAATTATTTCACGGTGTTCTGGACGCAACAAGTGAGACATTTGGATTGGATGGTGTTGGCTCAGTTTTTGGAAAACTTCACCGAGGTGGAGATTATTGGTCAAAAATATCAAGCCACAAAAGTGTAGGTAGCGTGTTGACAATGACAGTGCTTGGTTGAAAAATTGAGTGCTAAATGAGAAACAAACAAGAATGGCCGCAGTTTTTTGACAAATATCCATCAGAAGAAGTAGAGGGGTTAGAAGAAGATATCACGAGTTGAAATCTTTTGTTTGTCAAATAAAGAGGCCGGTTTTGTTTTTCTTTTGTTTGTCAACAAACATGAGGCGTGATTGGTGGTCTTATGAAGCCTATAAATCCCTTATCCTCTCTGATATTAAAATAATCAACGAACAGAGCTTGAGAGACAGAGAGTGAAAGCCACACGAGAAATCTGTGAGCTCTCAATATTTTGTATGAGTGTTGTATGTTGAGAAAGAAATATAATGATACACCCTCTTGCCGTGGACGTAGATCAATTTGATCGAACCACGTAAATATTGTGTTTGTGATTGTCTCTCTATTTCCTGGTTCTGTGTTTAAATTATCCTAACAGTTTTGATTATAATTACTGAAATATGAGCGTCCTCCATAGTGACTCTGATACAAGCTCGTTAAACAAGATATGGAAATGAATGCAGAGTTTGGATAAAGAAACTAGATATCAGACACTGATTCCTTAAAATGGGAACTTGTTTGCCTAGTATGGAATCCATTCTTCTCAAGAAAATAAAAGAAAAAAAGGAAAAATGAAGTCGGGTAGAGAAGAGAGGATAGGGTTACAAGCACCCTCCATAATGACTTTGATACAATCTCATCAAACAGGACAAAGTTATGAATGCCAAGATTAGCGGACGAAAATAGACATGTTATGCTGATTCCTCCAAATCAAACTTTGAACTAATTTTATCTAATGCATCTAATTTGACGAGTACGAACAAACCACAGGAGCAAAAGTTTACTATTCCAAAGTTTTGTCATTTGCGTACTGTGATCTTGAAATTCTATAATGACTTGGAAAGCTCTCTAAGGATGCCTCCCAAGAACAGGATGTGCAAAAGATAACAATATTACACACTTTTAAGTTAAATAAATAAAATGAAATGAAAGAAAAATGTATAAACAACAATAGACATTTTAACTTTTATTCCATTGGCTTAAATGCAAATAGAACCCCTGTAGTATCACCCAATTGCAAATAGACCTTGTATAGTTCTTATTCTGCGAATAGACCCTTTGAGTGATTTTTTCACTCTTAAAATCATTAAAAAGGTTTTAAGGAGGCAGATTGACCCCCTTATAGTTCTATGGATGAGGATAAATGCCTGATTCCTGTTTTTCAACTTTTAGTGTCGAACAAGTTCACTAAGAGGGTGTTTTTGTACTTGGGTCAATACTACAAGGGGGTCTATTTGCAATTAACCCTATTCCATTTTTTGGGTTAAGCTACAAGAATCTTAACGTCTCCAACTGGCTCCATAGCCAGATAAAGGAAGGCTGCCTTAGGCGGTTCAACCAACTTAATAACTTTGTTGGCATATGCGGAGGAAAAAGAAGAAGAAGAAGAAGAACTAATGCATAAAAAATTTCTATCTAGACATGGCTTACCGATATAGCAAGAACATTTATATAGAAATCGATCAAGGTTGCAGCCATCCACCTGCATGCATTATATAACAAGAGATTTTATTAGTTATAACATGGATCCTTCACAAACATATACTGATCTAAGAGCTTACATATAAAAAACCAGATGTCTGGATATTCAAACATGAAAAAAGAATCTGAAATGAAGGCTTATCATGTGATCCACACTAAGGGAACAGCTCCGTGATGAAGGCTTAGCATGTCAACAGAAAATTGTAACTTGATGGTCCCAATCATGAAAACAATAGTTACTTCTTTGTCATAGACAACAAAAGCATTATGGAGATATGATCACATTTTTAGAATCCCAGTAGCAGCAGTAGCTTATTTAACATCATATCGTATTTATGACAATTTGAAAGAATTGCTAGCGGAAAGAGCAGCAACATCTCCTGAGAAGAAACAAATTATGCTGGATAACAAGCATCTCCTAGCTCAGTCACCAAAGAGGTCATGGAGCCATCAGTATAGGCGAAATCCAAAAGCCCCAAACCAAGACAGTCTGCATTAACTGCCTTAAAGTGAAACAGTGCAACAATCACAAAAAGTGCAGATTGCAAATAGAAGCAACAAGAACAGAGAACAGAGTACGATGAGGTAAGAGAATAGAAAATACCACCTAATTATTGTCAGCACTAAATTTATCTTAGTCTCAGTAATACGCATTTTTAGACATAGGCAAATCTTTTCATTCTTTAATGCAGCTAACTTACTGATGTCTAAATCTTTCAAAATTTTCATACCTATGACTTTGCATCTGACATCATTTTAGTCCATGAGAAAAACTCATATGTTGCAACAACTACGACTTAAATATTTAAAAAAGCAATTTCTGCAGTGACAACTCATCATTTACAACATTTAAAGTAATATCAATATATGAAGTATATCTGCTTACGGAGTTAACAATTCCTTACGAAAAGGAAGACCATCAGTTGCCACAGTATAAATGACAACCGCCGACATGAAGACAGCCAACACGCTGAAAACAACTCTCCACATCAAAAGGGAGCAGCATGTCATTTTTTGGTGACCGTCATTTCTGAGGAAATATTAAAAAATACACGAATTAGTACATGCAAATTATGCGATAAAATTTTATGAGTAATTAGTTTTAAGCCAAATATCATCTAGATTTTCCTGTCCTAACATATATTGGCATCATAATCCACTGTTTAACGTATTTGAGCTCATTTTTGTGCCCTAACGTTAACTTTCAAGCTTGTCCTTGCACCCTTAATTCTTAAATAATCTGCAGTTGCTAATTCATCATGCTTTCTGTTTTAAGATGCTTTATATTTTAGCATGCTAACTAGGTAGGTGGATCTATTTACTGATTAGCTTCTTCCAGCGTTCTTAAGGATGTATCTTTATATATAAGAAACAAACCGGAAAAAAATCATTTATTGTGAGTGTTTGGGGTCGGCACATGACTATGTTCATTCCATTTTGCAATGTTAAGGGTTATGAAGCACAAATATTGATAAGGATACATGACACAATATGCACGAACAAGTTTCTAAGAAGCAAGGAATGGAGACAAAGCTATACATGTGTTTCTGTGGATGCGTATGTGTACATGTATATACATATCTATGCACGTGTCTATTGTTTCATGTCTAGGTCAAGCTTAATCAGACACTCACCAAGCAAACTGACACAACTTCTCGTGTCTATCCGAGCTTGCAATGAGTGCTGTAGTGGTAAGCTATTAACAATAGCTACACTTTCGAGCTATTTATAACTAAATACTTTAATCAGATTATCCACTTGATAACAAGTGCAAATGGTGCCTGTACATCAAATTCAGTAATTGTTGCATTTCATAGCTTGCTAGGTTATCTGACGTTTTACCATTTATCTGACATTTTATCATCTACTTCCGTTGCAGTTGAACTTCCATTGTTGTGAATTCCAGATTCCCCTCCTCTTTGGACCCAACTAACCCAGAGTTTCCCATGTTTGCTCATGCGCCATATAATCTAATGCCCTTATATAATTTGACTAATGGCATTATAAACAATAAAATGCTTCATGAAACAAATATATGAAAACACTTCTAGAACTTTGAAAGATTGAATGTTTAGTACCACCCACTGAACATGCATGTCTTACCAAGTTTGGTACAGAATCCTAAAAATGAAACATGCTTGAACCATATACCTTATGAACATAAACATAAGTATATACCTGAACCATCTCCAAATTACTGATGGCATTGGATTTACCTACGCAGGCATGATGACATAAATTAAGAATTGTAAACTATTAAGCCTGAGTGAATTATTTGCCTGACAAACTGCACATAAAAGTTCATGCCTGATGAGGAAATGGATATGAAAACAACAAAAAAATAAACAATAGCCAATAATGGACAAATTAAACTTTTTGAAGGTTTAACTTTGCCTAGCAGGGAAGATATACAACAACTTCTCTGGAAATTAGCGAGTGATGCTTTACGTTATACCTGGATAAGATAAGTCTGACAGGATCTTCAGGACCTCTAGTTGAAACATTGACAAGTTTCCTCACGATATAAACACATGTAGTTATGCTGAAAATGGCAAGTAGAAAATCAATACTAAACTAGAAATCAATGGTATCAGTTGGAAACAGTTTAACATATCAATGAAAAGAAACTGCTAACTAAAGTATGCTTCTAGATATTTCATAGAATCTGATGGAGAGGGATTGTGAAAACAGGAAAAAAAAGCAACTCAAGATATCTCATAAGACTGATGATAAAGCAAGTTTCCCCTATAAGAAGAAAAAAATATTAAAGTCTATCAAAAAGTATGATATAGTCTCTATTATGCTAGAAAAAATAAGTATAGAACCTTCTCCAGGAAAAACCTCAAAAAAGCACTGAAGTCAGCAACAAAAGTAAGTATATCTAGATGACATGATGGTCATTACTCACTACTGAAGATGCAGTAACTCAGATATCCAAGAAAATATACAAATAACAGAACCAACAATGAGATAAAAATAATACATTGCAGAACTCTCGTCAGATTGAGAAGATAAAGCGAACAGCTATGCATCTATTAGTACTAACAACAAAATTGTGCTATAAATATTTGGCATTCGAGAGTTGTGGATCAACATGATCACAAGAGCTGTAGATCGACATGACTCTAAAATAAGTATAATCTAAATGCTAATGTATCTGGCAAATATTTTGAACTCCAAGGCAAAAAATAAAAAAATAAAAAAATAAAAAATAAAAAATAAAAAACTGCATAGACAGAAATCAGGAGATACATGAGAAGCGTACCTGCCAAAACATATCAGCAAAATAATCCACAATATTGTATTGACCCAAGACGATTCATTGTAGGCAACCCACACCTGACATGGGGAAGAAAAAAAATGAATGAACACAAGATATGTGCATGTTTGACAAATCGGCTAAACAATTTAGAGATGCATGAAATATGTCAATGTAGATGCTTAAACTACTTTGCCTCATGAAAATGACATTTTATGAGTAAATCTGTCTTGTTTTCTTCTCTTTAGCATTTAGAACTGTCTTGAGTCTAACTCAACAATGATGATGTGAACCCACACTGCAGAATCAAAATATGAAGCTAGTACCATGGCGTAACTACATTTCAGCCTCATATTCCTGCATAGTGTCATTCTCAATGGAAAATCATACATCACCGATTCTTGCTCAGATTTCATATGATTCTAATTTCATATGGGACTTGAACACCAGATCGACTCTGTCAAAAATAGGGATGGCAACCAGATCAAGTAAGTTTGGATGCAGGTTGATCAAAATTTGCCTGGCTTGCATAAGCTAAACACCACCTAACCCAATTAATTACCAGTCAAGTACCCTTTATCATACAGCCACAATTTAGTAACATGCACCCAATCTGGCTAACAAATTATCAACGAGTTCGGTCTGAGTTAGCTCAGCTATTGGGTTTGTCAAAGAACTCTACCAGACTATGACTACAGAAAAATTTCAAAGTAGTGGCTCAAAGCCTTGTTCGAATCCTACTGGCCATCAAGTCACAGTGCTTTTCTAACAAATAATGAAATCTACTTCATTTATCTGTTTCATGAAAGGTTTTTGGGTTATTGTCAAGAGGGCAAAAAGAGAGATGAAACTGACAGGAACAACACACAATGAATAGAGAGTCGCCAGGAAGTATACTAACCAAGAAACAGTATTAGCTATGTTATTAGCGTAATATTATTAAGATTTTTGTTAGTCATCAATAAACAGTTATTACAAGAGGAACTCTTGATGAGAAAAAAAAAATGCTAGAGCAGTAAAGGAAAAAAGTTAATTAAATAGACAAGAAAAATTGCGGGGAAAACATAAGTACATATAGGTTCTGAGATTTACCGCTATCGCCACCACATTAACATAAAAGTCGATCAATGTCGCAGTGAGCCACCTAAATAAGTTTCAAAAAGCATCAGTTCAAGAACAAGAACACCAAAGTTTTACGATGCTAATGTGCAAACAATAATTTCAAAAAATAAAACAATGAAAACCGAAACTAAAACCAATTGGGAAACCATGATCACTCTGGTGCACGTGTGCACATCAACGACCCAATTAAAAATATATAGATATTTTCCAACAGACAATTTATCCTTATAAAAAGGTGATCGAACTCTTTGAGTTGAAGCTAAAGATGGTATTGTTGGTAGGAGGATTACTTTGCTTTATGCATCATTTTCTTTAAGAAAATTGTATGTCCAACCATTTCTCAAGATGCCCATATGGAATTCATTGGTTGGGACACTATGCTGAGCCAATTTAAAATGACAAATTTTACAGACAGACATTTCATCAAACAGGTAATGGGCACTTTGACAAACAAACATGACAAAGAGGTTACGGGGTAAAGAGCTCGGATCGAAAAGGAGAGCCATCGGTGATGAGAGTGTAGATGAGGGTTGCCAGCATGAAGCAACCCAATTAGAGATGAAGAGGCTGCCATTTTTCAAAGCTGAGAAAAATCAAGAAGAAAGTTAGTGACTTTACAAGTAGGAAGAGAAATGAATGGTGAGGATGTGGAGGGGAGAGTTACACGAAAGACGTACCTAGTTGCTGCAAGCTTCGTTGATTGCTGGCCGTGGACTTTTTTTTTTTTGAATTTTCTTTTTATTTTCTTTTTTTCCCCTCCTTCTTTTTCCCTCCTCTTTTAGACACAGGCCAAAGCCCATAATTGAGGGCCGGCCTTTGTGATGTAAATGTCTTGCTTATTACACTATTCTACTGCTACTCTCGGCCTTGTATGTTAAATATGTTATAATTACTTAATGTGTATTTATACTATTTCTAATAGAAAATGCTGATAAAAATAAGAATTATTAAAGAAACTATACGTATGTCTTTCCTGCAGCTAAATAACCGTTTTTGCTTTTTATTTGGATAAAAACTTAAAAATTATAACTGTATCCTTTATTTTAATAAGAGGCATGAAATTGAACTTAAAATTCATATAACAGTTCATTGACCTTTAGTGGGTCTAAATAAAATAAACTTTCTTTTTTATTTTCTTGATTTTTGGTTCATCGGTTACCATTGGATTGAAAAAAAATAAGAAAATTATGGAAAGTACATTTTAGGTATATATAAGAAAATTCATCCAATGTTTATTTTTTATTATGAAAAGTATTTTTTTAGTTACTAAAATACGTATTTAATTATATACTATATGCATTTTACATAAGGCTCTTATTTATAATATGTTACTACCTAGTTTACTTTATGTTGCATTCTTATTTTCTTAAATTATATGATTTAAAAAAAACAATGCATGAAACTTTAAATTTGAGAATGAATTTGAGTAATAAAAGTGAAGGAACTTTCTAAAGAGAGGAATGAAATTCTAAATTTGAAAAAGATACGAAGGAATGAAAATAATTGAACATTTGAAAGAGGAGAGGTGGATTTGAAGGAATCCGAGAAACGACTAAATTATCTTTACCTTTAATTAAGATGATCTTCTATTCTTTGACAAATTGAAAGAATAATTACTCATTTCTTCACTTTTGTCTACGCTCAAAAAGTATTTTATAGAGTAGTATAGATGAGCCTAAGAGGGGGTTTGGACAGCGTTATTTTTTTGGGTGGAAGAAGTAGGTTTTAAGCTTTACTTTTTCATATCTATGTGTTTGGTAAATTTTAAATAAGACTTTTAAGTCCCAATCGAAAAACTCGGGTTTACTCAATTTATGAAAATTAGCATATAGCGTGTTTAAACAAGCAAGAATATTTAACCAAGCAAACGACTATTCTAATTCTACTCATGTATTTTTTTATATTACTAGTTGGATTACACGTGCAATGCATGTGGTAAATTGTTTTATTTATTATTTTATTATTGATTCATTTTATTAATATTTATTTAAATTAAACCATGTATCAAACATATGGATAGAATTTTAAAATTAAAAAGGATTAAATAGATTGTTTGCGTCCTTAACAATAGAAAACAATGAATAATTTTATTAAAGAATTTTATTTGATATACACCATTGAGTTTCAATCAACCATCCTATAAGAATGAAATTCAGATGTAGCATAGGTCCACTAAAGTTTACTTATCACTGGCTAATAGCAATGACATATAGAACTATTGACTCATCAAAGCTTCTTTTGAATCATTTGCTACTCGAGTTTTTAGTAAGCTGCCTGCATTTTCGGCTTGTCCTGATGCATGGTGACGAGAAGACTCTGTTAAGCAACCACTTGTTCTCCCTTTTTTACCACCTAAATGAAAGTTTTCAAGTACAAAATTTAGTAATTGCTAATCTGGAAAACATTTTTTGACAGTAGTTAATAAAATAAAGATATTATAAACACAGTTTATCTATATTAGGTCAATGGACAAATGACTTTGTTAATGAAACACAATAAATGAGTGGCATAGAAGAACTTGGTTTGAAAATAGGTAAAAAGTGTACTGTAGCAAGCATGAAAGAGGAATTTTTTTTAATAAAAAAGAAATTGAAACATGATATATTCTATGACATAAACAAATGTAACAAACTTAGCAGAAGACTCCCAAAGAACTATGAGCACTTTTTTAGAACTAAATCCAAAGTCAAAACATTTGGAAAGAAGAACGCATGTAATACTTACGCATCATCAATGAATTTTGCTGCAATGACCACACTTGTCATTAGCTACCGATGAACATTGAGGCAAGAAAGATGGACACCTGGTTGCACAAGGTATCTGTCAATGTATACATGTGCAAGGATAAAGCATGAATGGCTACAATTTGAATACTTGAATATGCGCTCAGTGTAACTTTGTATGCTAAGATCCTGTGCTCTGAGACCATGGCCAATGGTGTCATTAGCTTTCCTCGTCGTAGAATCCGGCGAACTCTCATTCTTTTGAATGGTCTTCTTGAGAGCTGAGAATAATAGTGACAGAACTTGTGGAAATTCATAATCTCCTTTCCCTGATTCACTAAGCCCTAAAAATCTATAGTTCCATTGGTCTATTGACTCGGTTTCAACTGCCATAGACCCCATATATAGCCAAAAGATGTCCTGAAAGAATAAATTACTAAAATGTTATGTAAATTCATCCAGGGTAGAGAATCTATGCACGTGCTAAAATTTTTAATATTATTTTAAATTATAATTTTATTTAGGCAAAGATTTGGTATAAATTTATTGAATGCAAACAATATAGCTAACATATTTTTAATATTATTTTAAACAATATAGCTAACATATTATTTTAAAGTTAATATTTTATCAGCATCATGCTCAAAAATAGTAGGGAAAAAGACACTTCTTTTTTCATTCTTGAATACTTAAGTGTATTCAGTATTAAGCAACTAAATTGTCCCTACTATTCCTTAACCTAATGCTTGACTTTTCATTCTTGAATGCATTGATAAGAATTATTATCAAATATCAACTAATTTTTTATTTATACCATATTTTTTACTTGAAAAAAATTTCATGGCTACAATCTACTTTAACTAAAGTAGATAATAAATCATTGGATCATCTACAAAGAATTATATTAAAAGTTGTCTACAAAACTCCAATGTTAAGGGATATTCTGAAGAAAATTTATTAAGTGGATATGTATCTTCAAAGAACATATAGCATTGAGTTCATCACTCCCAAGTATTTCTTCTCAAGTTTTCATTGAAGCAACTAAGGAACCAAGCCTCAATTTCTTGATGGCCAAATTTGATGGCATTCTAGGACTTGGATTCAATGAAATATCGGTTGATGATGTGGTACCTGTATGGTATGCTTCTATACCTTGATTATGGATATTTATGATGGCTAATGAAAAATAATCCTTCATCACATAATTGTTAGAAGAAAACAATAAACATAATAAGGGAAAACGTTAGTAAAAAGTCACAAACATTAAGAGGTAAATTGAAAGAAAACAGTAAATGCGACATCTGATACTATAGACAATTATGGAACATAGATTCTTTGGAATATTTCAGTGTATATGATGGATTATGCAAGCATCTGGCTGCATTTTTTTAAGACAATCATCTGAATGCATTTGTAAACAGTTATCTATCTTAATTACATTTATTTTCAATTAAATGAGTTGAATGTAAGGTATTTAGAGATTGTAATGTTACAGAAGGTAATGAATAAAATTTTGGAAGAACCATATTGATAGATATCCAAGGATCGATGAACTAAAAATACTAAAACCAACTCAATTATGACCCATAAAATTCTCAGAAGTAGAATACTGGCAGAAAGTAAGAAATTATCAAACAAGGACAATATCGCTGAGGATTTCTTTATTAGCAATCCTTGTTTTCATTATGGAAACGTTCGGTTTTATATGCCGAGATGATGGTTAATGTGAGCAAAAAAGTTAAGGGCTAATGGAAATCAATCTTCATCAAGTCTAAGCAATGTAAGAGAAACCAAGTTACCTCTGGCTTAAACATGTTCATTACTGAAAAAAGTAGCTGGTCACCAATCAACACTTTGACCATTCTGACAAGTTTGGCTCTATTGATGTATTTCGACAAGAGGCGTTATTATGATAAATCAGTTATATTAGCTTGGATGAAAGATTTTTAGCAATAAATGTGGCACATACCTGCTCAGGAGTTTTTTTTTATAATATCGATTTTGAGATACACCTTGCGCAAGCAGCTTCTTCACCCTACCATCTGTATAAAGTTCAGACAGGAACTCATGCGCTTCTGCAATTAAGACTCGTCCACAAGGCATATAAACTAAGCTTTGCCATTGCCCTGTTGAATAGAATCTGAGAGAATATGTCCATGATCTGAATCTCTTCTTGCAAAGGACTCATCAACAATCTTCTCAGATGTCTTCTTCTGTTGCTTGGCCTTTCCCTTCCCTTGTTGATTAATGAGCTCGTCATCAAGATTGTACACAAGCCTCTTCTACAAAACTTCTCAGTTTAAACAAGAAAAAATCATAAGTTATTCCCGAGAAACTATAATATAACTTTTACCTCATCAACTTCAGATGTGAAAGGTTCTTGTAGGTCTGCATGAACACATCAAAGAAGGCAAGATAGACAATAGGCTCTCAAAAATTTTAGGTTGGTATATATTTTTTAGAAACCATGCATGTCTAGATACCGACCAAATGCTTATTGTGACTCATGAACATAAGAAATATAATAAAAGTTAAGACTACTCTTAGTAATATAAGATAGATGATATGAAGTACGAACTTAAAGGGTGGGCAATATGAGGAAATTCTTTAACTATGTGAATTCTCATGTATCTTCTAATTTATAGTAATAAGCATTAAAATACTATCTGAACGTAACACAAGATACTTCCAGTCCTAGGCTATTTAGGAATATATCAGAGGATATACATTTGCCTAAGGCCCTAAACCTTATTGTGCATGCCAGCATGACCCTACATGCAAAATCAAAAAAATCGTACAGGAAATAAGATACATTTATCACATGGATCTCCCAAATAAAGAATCCATTATAACCAATCCTCAAATTTTAGACTGCTCCAGGAACATGATTGTCAATTTTATAAACAACAAGAGTACTCA